GGCGCCCCGAGCACCTGCGGAGTGGGCGTGGGGCAGAAGATGAGAGGGAGAGAAAGGATCGGTGTGGGACTATGACCATGCTGGGGAGCGAGAGGGGGAGGGAGACGATGCATGGACAACAGTCAAGCATGCACATCCCGTGTCGTCTCTTTCATACCGGATTCACTTCATCCCACTAATACTGTGTTATGTATAGTCCATATGCCGCCTTCTTCCATTCTCGTCGCGATGCCCGAGGACGCACTGAGGATGTTATTGCACATCTTCCGACGGTGCGGGCCCTCGTGAGCGTCACAACGGATACCGGGCTGAGGAAGGGTGCGCGAGGCAGTTCGGCGAGGGTCTTTGAGGACCATGTATAGTAGCGAGGTCCGCCCCCCGCTTTTGAGTCCTGTTGATGTCGCTGACACTCCTGATAAGCTCCATGACTACGTGCCGAAGTAGCTCATACCTGTGAGGGCTAGGACGAGCCAGGGCGGGTCGTCCGTCAGTACGGGAGCCCGGAGGGTACGTACTCTTACGGTTACTTCGACGCGCTGACGCACCTGATAGGATGTCGAGATGCAGCTCCCGCGCGCGACCGCGCAGCTGTGCTTCACGAAGGACAAGATGACGATGAGATGGGTGCGGAGGCGCGGGGAAAGCAGGAGACACTGCGTGAGAGCGCGGATACTTGTTTGACGGCAACCGGTACGCCCTCGTCCGCCCTCGTCTTTAATATCTCGTTCCTCTGGCTAACCCTTCTGCAGGTTTCGTACTTCTCCTCCTCGTCGCGCTGTGATGCCGCGATCATGCCGCCATTACCCAGTGCTCAGGCGGGATACACTGCACACCCCTCAGGCAAGCAGCAGCATTTGCAGCACCGTAACAACATCCTCGGGATATCCACGTCCCGTCGTATCCTCTGCGTCTTGTGCAAGCTCGGTATCCATCTCGTGGTCCTCGTTGACCCCTGGTATGTGAATAACTTGTTCACTTCTTTTCCCAATGCCTTATGTTTCTTTTTTTTGACAGCCAAGCCGGCTCGGGCACATCGGCGTGTGATGCCGCGGCGCTCAAGACGGTGTCGGGGATCTCTTCCGCGTGGCGGACGTTGCGCTTCCTGCGTGCTGGACCTGCCGACACTAAAGCCTGCCTTATGCTCACAGGATTGGAAGGGCGGTTGGTTCGAGCCCTGGCCACGATTTGTTCTATCTCTCTCTATATATATACATGTACTGGCAGCCCCCCAAAAAGTGACATACTTGGTTGGTTTTGGTGCTATCCGAAAGAGCCTGTGGGCTGGTGTATATATACTTACTACTGATGTCGGATTAGGAGTGGATCATTGGGGAACAAGGACCAGATCGTCGGCGGACGGGCAGCGGATGGTCGGCGGATGAGGGACGGATGGGCGGCGGATCGTCAGCGGATCGTCCGCCGACCAAATTTCAGCGCAGTTGGAATAAAAAAAATCGGATTGAAAATCGGCTGGGACCGAAATTCGAATCTAAATTCCAGATTTAGGGATAACGGAAGTGTGAACCGAAATTTCAAGTTTCGAGTTCACGTTTCGGTGCAACAGATATTTTGAACTTCAGATGCACCTTTTTTAATTACAATACGGGTAGTTTACGCAAACCGTTTTGGGTCCTACTTTTTGCAATATGATTTCTAGTATTTCGAATAAATTTCAGTGACGCCGAAACTTGATCTTATTCTAGCTCATTTCGGTCGCGCTGAAATTATAACCTAAACTATAAGAATGACTTTTAGTTTCGGAACAACTGGAGTTTAATTCCATTTTTTGGTACTCGAGATCAACTTAGGCTGACCCTTATTTTGGTAATCTTAGGTGTGGGTATTTAAAGCACAAGAGATACAAACTAGAATGAGTATAAGTACTGAGGCATCCAAAATTGCATGAAAATCCACCACTGGCCCGTTCTCTTGCCATTCTCGGCACTCACTACAGAGTTTCAGAGTCAAAATTAGGCAGCTGGACACTTCAAGCCTTTGGGTGAGTTTACATGCACTCATAAACAAGAATACTACGATACATTGGCCAAGTTGAGCCGCAGCACTCTAAACTATGCCCACCTACCATTGCCGAGACCAAAGCAGAATGACAGTTTCCATATGGAGTCGCGGATCAGCGGACCGAGTGGTGGTGGTCCTGTGAGTGTTCGGGGTCCTGTGATGGATGTTAGAGGGAGTCGATGCCGCAAGTTAGGTTGTCAACACCCCTTGCGCTACTTTAGCCAAGTCCCAATTCATATGAACAAGGACCTAATGACAAAGTTGGTGTCGCGTCCATTGCCGCTGAGATGGTTTGGGATGGCTCCGTGGAAGGCCCTCGTTCGAATCGAGGTTAGGTCATCATCCTGTTGTCTGTCATCTTTTTCACCCCACACGAAAAGACTGAAATAATCTCACACGTTTATAGGAACAAGACCTAATAGCGAAAATTGTATCGCATCCACTGCATCTTGGCCATATCTTGTCAAAATACCGAAGCCCCTCGTTCGAATTAATTCGTATCATCGAAGTCTTTTTTTCTTTCTTTTTCATTCAACCCACACACAAAAATCTAAAAAAATCACACACCTATTCAGGGGCAGGTAAAGGGAGGAAGGACCTAATAGGGAAATTTACATCGCATCCATTGCACCTGGTTCGATGTAGTCAGTATTATGTGGAAGTCCCTTGTTCAAATCGAGGTTAGGGCATGTTGGACTCCCAGTTTTTTTTTTAATTCGCCTCCACACAAACTCAAGCCCGAAACAATCCTACATCTATCCAAGGGCAGGAAGACCTAATAGTGAAATCGGCATCGCGTCCACATCTGCTAGTGTTAAAGCGCAAATAAGACCGGTTCATGTGAAAGTCCTCGAAATTAGGGCATGGCCAATTATTCCAGGACTTTTTCTTTTTTACGCTGACACAAAAATAATCCCACTTCATACCGGATTCATGGATATGGGAACGAGACCTATGGAATTGTCCACTACACCTCAGTAGAAAATTTACCCATTATGTGGAAGTCCCTCGTTTGAACCGAGGTTAGGTCATCTGGGAGTGAAGTCTCAACGTCTTTTGTTTCCGCCCCACACAAAAGCCTGAAATAAATATCGCACTAGTTTCGGTTCAACTAGATGGTAGAAAAACCTAATAGCGAAATCCACCTATCCTGACCAATGTTCCCATTTCGGTGGAAGTCGTTCGAACCGAGGTTAGGTCATAAGTCTGTGACGCCGAGCATGCCTTTTTATTCACCCCACACAAAATACCTGAACAATCACACATGTGTTCAAGGGCAAAGAAGGGGGAGGAAGAAGACCTAATAGCGATATTGGCATCGCATCCACTTCCCCTCAAACGGTTCGCCGAATATGATGATGTGGAAGTCCCTCGTTCGAACCGAGGTTAGATCCTTGGATGGTCTCGTATGGTTTTTTTATTCGCCGTACACAAAAACCTGAAATAATATCACAGTAAGCCAGGTTCAGTATTATAGGAACAAGACCTAATAACGAATCGGTATTGCGTCCACACCCTTTGGGTCCTTCGAATATTTTGGCAATCAGTCGGCATGCCGCGGAAATTTCCATATGCGCGTCAAAATATCTGGGCCCTTTGTACTTCAATCGCCGCTGTAGACCCGGCTATATTATTGAATCCACCGTGGCTTCCTTGTTTTAAATTTTCGGTCTCTTATCTGGATGATTCTATTGAGAAACCTCCCGCATTAGGGAAGATTACCATCAAATACCGGACATCAATCGGCGACACCGGGGAACGCTACAAGTTCGTTAGCAACTTGCAGGCGGCACCGTTATTATTACCAGGAAAAATTGAGAGAGCTATTTAAACGAGTTAATATTGGTTCTTAGTTGCAATGGGCTTCCAAAGCCCTGTTATGACACAAATACCAGATATCTCCGGTGTGATGGGATCTTCAACCCAAGTTCGGCAGGGCAATTTGACTTGCTCTGAGAATTTTAGAGCTCTAGGAGCCGGCGGGGTATTTATTACACAAGCCTAAAACTTTTTCCTGAGACTTATATGAGCACCAGCTCACAGGTAAGGTCGTGATACCAATTACAAGGGCTGTGATTCTCAATGAGGAAATATAGCCTTGTGAAGTCAGTAGCGCCTGTAAAAAATCCAGGTGAGCACACAAATTCATTCCCAAGCCATTAAATTCCACATTGTGGGGCATTGAAGTCCAGGACTACTTAAAAACCTAGGCCTGAGTTCAGCGGTCGCCAGCATTAATGATCTCATACCCCATTTGGAGGGCTCCTCAATAGAATAATCCCTCTCATCTGAAACCATGGCCTTCAAGTTTGCTGCTTCATTGATATCCCACAATATCCTATTCTTCATCTCGCCAATTACTGCTGTAAGTGTCAGCTCAGCCCCCAGCTAATGAATAGGTTTCCTAAAAATATAGGAATGCAGTGCAGCAAGCGCTTCTCTTTACAGCCTTGCTACGATACCTCTTCCTCCCAGACCATGCCCCTCTTCAGCAACAGTACCGCTATCCACATTAGTGGAGGGAACTTCTACGATGTTGGTGGCAACCTGAGCATCCGAAATAGCCAGCAGCTTTAGGTACAGGATCACCAGCATGCAGATAGTAGTGGCTCTCCAGGTATTCTTGAGGGAACCCCGACGCAACAGAGCATTGGCTGGGACGCTTCATATGGCGGTCGCACATTTTCAGGAGCAGTGAGGAATAGTCGGCATACAAGGAGGCTGTTGCCATTACCTTACGGTGCGTGTCAATTTGGATTCCTGTATTTTCCGCCTCTTAATTTGTCTCGCAGACGCGTCTCTTTGGAACCAGACCCAATCACAGAGCGAGTTGCAACCGGCATATAACCAACCGTCTTCGTCTTCGTCATCTGCCAGCGCACTAGTTACGTCGTCCTCTAGCACCTCTCCTTCACTTCAGACTTTTCACTAAAACCCCAAATATTCACGCACCACCCCAAGTCCCAATCTATACGCACAAGGACCTAATAGCGAAATTGGTATCGCATCCGCTACCGTTTAAAGGAAAATGTTCTAGTTTCTGTGGATGTCCCTCGTTCGAATCGAGGTTAGGTCTTGGGTTCACGGCCGCCAGCACTTTTTTTGATTTACCCGCACAAAAAAGCCTGAAATAATTTCCCAGCAAGTTCCTAGCAAACCAGGGCTTCGAGTTACAGGAACAAGACCTAATAGCGAAGCCGGCGCATCCACCGCACCTTCTCACTGTAAATGCACTGTGGTTTTCTTCCCCCATACAACAAGCCCGGAACAATCACACACCAACCCCGAGTTCCAAATGATAGGAACAAGACCTAATAGCGAAATTGGCATCGCGTCCACTGCACTTAAATGTTTAAACCTGCACAAGCACACGAGTCAAAGTGGAAGTCCCTCGTTCGAACCGAGGTTAGATATCATCGAAGTCTTTTTCCTTTTCTTTTTCACTCAACCCACAGCCAAAAGCCCAAAACGATCACACACACACCTATCCAAGGGCAGGTAAAGGAGAGGAAGACCCAATAGTGAAATCGGCACCCTCTGCTTCGTGAATTACCGCTGTGCGGAAGGCCCTCGTTCGACTCGAGGTTAGGTCATGGCCGATACGGTTTTCTGTACTTTTTTATCACCCCATACAACAAGCCCGAAATAATCACACACCATATCAAAGACAGGTAAAAGGGAGGAAGACCTAATAGCGAAATCAGCATCGCATCCACTCACCCTGCGAAATAACTCCTGGTTCTGTGCAAGTCCCTCGTTCGAATCGAGGATAGGTTGTATGAATGTATTTGACAACGTCCTTTTTTCTTCTCCCTCAGAAATTCCCACTCATTGAGGTTTAACTTAGCAGGGTCACATGTAGAAGTCCCAGCATTTCTTCCCCCTTCTCCCTCATAATTTTGCAGTATACGAAGATTTGACGAGGCTTAAAGGGAGGGTAGGAAGACCTAATAGCGAAATTGGCATCGCATCCACTGCACCTGTCTCGGCGTGCCTGGATCATTTCGGTGGAAATCCTTCGTTCGAGCCGAGGTTAGGTCATTATCTGGGACTCCCGCCATTTTTTTTTATATTATGCAGCATATGAAGCCCAAGGCAATTACTGTACATATCTCTGCATGGGCAGGTAAAAGGGAGGAAGACCTAATAGCGAAATTGGTATTGCATCCACCTCAGTTATTGTTGGACAAGAGGTGAAGTGGAAGGCTGAGGTTAGGTCATGTCCCCATAACCGTAGTTTTTTATCCAGAAATAATTTCGCACTACTTTTAACTAGAAGTGAATAAGACCTAATAGCGAAATCGGCATCGCATCCACTCCCTAATCGGATGTAATACTGTTACTGCTATTGCATTATGTGGAAGTCCCTCGTTCGAATCGAGGTTAGGTCCTACGTCAGCCAGCGACCTCCCACCAGTGCTAGAGGAAAATACAGCAGTAAACCAGGTGCAGAACTGCACCTACATAATAGCGACATTGGCATCGTATCTACTCTGCTTAGAGAAAACTATTAATGGCCTTCATGTGGAAGTCCCTCGTTCGAATCGAGGTTAGGTCATGGTAGTGTTCCGACATCCCTTTTTAATTCAACCCACACAAAACTGCGAAATAATTTCGCACTACTTTAGGTTCGATTAATGAGTAGTAAGACCTAATAGCGCTAGGGAAATCGGCATTGCGTCCATTCCAATTAGCCCGTGAATATTTCGTCATGTGGAAGTCCCTCGTTCGAACCGAGGTTAGGTCATGACCATTTGCTCCGGTTTTTTTTTTTTACTCAGCGTAAAAATAATTTCATACCAAGCGGAGGTTCAGAAATAGAACAACAAGACTTAATAGCGAAATTTGGTATCGCATCCACTGCACTTGATGTAAACACTATCATTGTCTTGTGGAAGTCCCTCGTTCGAATGGATGTCATGACCAGTGCCTCTTGAGGTTTTTGTTAAAAGAAATAATCTCCCAATAAGTGAAGGTTTAGGATCGCATCCACTGCCATTAAAGTATGACGGATTTGTTTCATGTGGAAGTCCCTCGTTTGAACCGAGGTTAGGTCAATATGTGTTTAAATTTGGCAAAGTTTTTTTATTCTTCTCCCTCATAATTTTGAGGTATACGAGGGCTGTAAATCGAGAGCAGGAAGACCTAATAGAAAAATTGGTATCGTGTCCATTGTACCTGGCCCAAACAAGTACCATTGATGTGGAAGTCCGTTCGAGCCAAGGTCAGGTTGTAGAGTTGACATCGCTCTTTTTATCTTTTTTTTACACAAAAACATGCAGTGTACAATTATAGCAAGAACACCTAATAGCGAAGTCAGAAAGTCAGAATCGCGTCCATTCGAAGAATGTTGTGTGGAAGTCCCTCTTCGATCCGAGGTTAGGTCATGGGTATTTGCCATGTGCTTTTTTTTCAAGGCACTCCCGAAGTGCGAAATAATAAGGGCTTCAGCTAGATGGGAGGGAGGACCTAACAGCGAAGCCGGCATCGTGTCCACTGCGCTTGAAGGCACACAGCAATTTTTTATGTCGTTCGACTCGAGGTTAGGTTGTGAGGGCGGATCCGTGCTTTTTTTTCGCCCCAGTGGAAGCGCTCGTAATTGTACAGTTCTCCGGATTCAGAATTAAAGGGGCAAGACCTAATAGCAAAATCTGGCATCGTGTCCACTGTCAGTGGAACAGTCCTTCATGAGACTACTTTTTGTTCTTGCAGCTCACTTGAAATTTTGCAGGAAGCTGAGTTGAGGAGGAATGGGAGGAAGACCTAATAGCGAAATTGGCATCGCGTCCACTGCACCTATTTCCACGGTTGGTACCATTTCGCCTCTTTGGAACCAAGGTGAGGTCATTGCCCTTCCGATTCGTTTTTTAACCCCTCACAGAAGTGCCCATTGTTTTTCAGTATGCCAGTGCGAAACTATGGGATGGACGACCTAATAGTGAAAACCGGTATCACATCCGCTCTGGTTTAACAAATAGCTTGGAGGTTCTGCTGTCGTAATTTCCTTTTCATTCAACCCACATAGAAAGGCTGAAACAATCACATTTTCCAAGGGCAGGAAAAGAGGACGAAACCTATGGAGAAATCCGGTGTAACGTCTGCGCTGGGGCGTGAGCTAGTACTGCTGTGGGTTGTAGAAGTCCCTCGTTCAAACCGAGATTAGGTTCTCATCAATTCATTTCAATTTCTTCCCACCCCACTCGCGAATGCTTATCTTTTATCAGGATTTGGTGATCTGGCAGGTAGTGCGAAATATCCGAGGGAAGAACTACTAATGAAGCTTCCATGTCCACACTGAATTCTTCTCATTTGAATGAGATGTGGGTGGAAGTTCCCCATTCAATTCGGGGTAGGTCATAACCAAATACTGTGTCGTTTGTTTTTGTAGTTCGTCATTGGCACAAAAATTTTCAGAGTACAAACCTGAAGTGACAGACAGAGGGCCTATTGGTGAAATTATAACTCACTCTTGGGCTTGGAGAACTGGAAATAAATTGTTGAGTTGTACCTGAGAGTCTCAGTCAAATAATGAAGCGAAAGTCTGTGAGACAAATCCAGGCCAAATTAGGGACGGTCAGAGTAGAGGTTTCAGATGCGCTTCAGGCATTTTTAATTAGGTGCTTCAGATGTGTTTCTGGAATTAATATAGCATCAGAAGCGTGCGAGAAACACTTATGAAGTCTGACCGTCCCTTTCCAAATTTCGCTTCAGATGTGTTTCTGGCTTATAAATAAGTATTGATAAGATGATGTGCGCCGAAATCCTTGCAAGGTGAATTGAGGGTGTGCTCAACACCGTGCTAGTCACCGACAACACATTGTTCTACATTGATGTGCGGCTTCTCAGTTCCAGTTACACCATGAGGTTTGTATTGGGGCGGCAGCAAGAATGGGACTTTGACAAATAAATAAATATCATGGAGGACAAATAGAGGAGGAGGAGCGAAGGAGCAGAGTCAAGAATGATGATTTTTATTTCTTAGTTAATACTTGGGCAGCAAACACAGGATGAGTGCCTTGAAGACCAGAATTAAATCTCTGAAGCATATTTCTGAAGCGCCGTGAAGCGCCTCCAGAGGCGCTTCGGCGTTTCAGAAGTGTTTCGATTTAAAAGTGTTTCTCCCACGCTTTAATAAATGATGAAGCGCTTTTGAAACCCTTGCGTGAAGCACATCTGAAACCCTTACTCTGACCATCCCTATTGCTTGAACAAAGAAGATCTATGGGTGAAATAGATATCACATCTGCATTGAATGCGCCGCCTAAACATGAAAGCTTTCGGTGGAAGTTCCCTGTTTGAGTCGGGGGTGGTGATTAAATATCACTCGGGTTCATTTTCTTTTGGTTCGCCATTGTATTTTATTTTATCTTATATTTCGAGAGGAATCATCCCTGCCTGCAAGAGGAAAGGGCTCAAGTCCGCAAGGATAGATCTGAGTTTAGTTTTGAGTGTCTGGATGCACCATCCCTTATGGTGGATGTCCAGAGCACAACGAGGGAAAGAAGCAAGCTGTATACAGAACTTGGAAGCAAAAGATGCCCAGAGAGAAAAGAGTGCAGAGCTGGAATGTATAAGGGCGTCGCCAGAAGGCCTGACAAGAAATGCGGCCAGTAGCAAGCCAGTAAAACAAAATCTTCGCCAGAAGCGGCTCCGCGGTATGGCTCCCGTAAATCCGGTCTTGCGACCTCACGGCGCCGACAAAGAATGCACGCGAAAGACTAAGATGGGCTCGAGTTTAACAAACGCACTTAGGCTCTGGAATAGGGGCTCGGAGGACGCGTTGTTTGGATAGAGGATGGGAACCAAACTGATGTGCAACACGTGGGAACTGCATCGCCTTCTGCCACTCTTGTGCCACGACTTGCTGAAGAACAAGAACAGGTAGGAACTCAATTAGTTGCTCTACTGAGCTCTAAGCTCTTTCAGAACCTCCAGTACTCATGACCAACCCCCATCATCTTGACTCTCCGCTCTCTGACACGACGCGAAGTCGGAATCGAAGCGCTTCAAACGGGAGATCCACCCCGTCAGATAGTATTAGGGAACGCATACCCGACTTGGATGTGGCACTGGAGC